AGCTGGGCCCTCTGCAAGAACAACAAGCACTCTTAACTGCTGAGCCATCTCTCTGGGCCCCAGTTGAATTCTTTTTGTTTGCACAAGTTATTTGTGCATACATATTCATGTGTGTACAGGTGCACATGCATGTGTATGTGTCTGCACATAATCTGTGCCGCTTACCTTTTGGGTTTCTGCCTATTCAACTAGTTTGGCCCATCAGTGAGCCTCAAAGATCCACCTATCTGCAACTTTCTAGTGCTGGAGTTGCAAGCATTCACTACGATGCTCAACTTTTTTTAAAATATGGGTTCTGGGAATTAAACTCAGGTCCTGATGCTTGCACAGCAAACATTTTACCAACTGAGCTATCACTGAAGCCTCTATTTGCATTTTTATGACTTCATGCAGTATATTAAGGCTAATATAACCTTCGGACATCACATTTGGCAAGCTGGGAGGATGCAGGATGGAAATGTCAGGGTCACCATCATAATGCAGTTGTCAACAAACGTCAAGATCACTGTGCTACTATATGAACTGGGGAATCGATGATCTGACTGAGTTCATGAATCAATGCCAGCAGATTTCTACCATGTTGCCATGTGTCAATCTAGAGCAGCGTTCCTCAACTTTCCTAATGCTGTGACCCTTTAATGCAGTTCCTCATGTTGTGGTGACCCCAAAGCATATAATTATCTTAGTTGCTACTTCATAATTATAAAGTTGCTACTGTTGTGAGTTGTAATGTAAATATCTGATATGCAGGATGTCAAATATGCAATCCCCAAAGGGGTCAGGACCCATGGGTTGAGAACTGCTGACCTAGATCATGGTGATGTATTTCACCAGCCCAACATACAGAGCACGCATTCACTTCTTCACAAGCTTGCTTTGCTAATTCAGCAACTCATTCATATGCATAACATACATGTGCTTACTGTGTACCAGGCTATGTGCAAGACACAAAAGGATCATTCCTCTTTGAAAGAACCCTTTTCCTATGTGAGTGACTATCAAAGGCTAATAAATATGCTAACAGCCATACTGTTTGATTGAGACTGAGAATTTTGTTGAGATTCCCACTGCACATTAGAGCACATTTTGATAGTCTAGATTAGCTGGTGTTCAAAAAGGATGGCAAACTAGACCTACTGTTACAGGTCTATATTTGCCACGTATGTGGTGGCTCAGGCAGGAGGATCACAAATTCCAGACTGGCCAGGGGCTAAATAGTAAATTCAGGCTGGACAACTTCGTAAGATGTCTCAAAAGGTAAAACAAAGGTTGGGAATGTGTCCATGGTAGAGGACCTGACTAGAACCCCCCAGTGAAGGGCCAGAGGCCTGGCTTCTTGGTAGAGTGTTTACCTGGTATGAATGGGAATCCCTAACTCCAATACCCACTAACCCTCAGTGTGAGTGGGGTCAATGATAGTTTGTAATCATCAGGAGGGCCTGGGAGAGTTTAAACAAAGAATGCAATGGAGAGAGGCAAGTTAGACACAGCACTGGGCATCTGCTAAAGAGCCACTTCCAGTGTGTGACTCTTTCGGGCTGTCTTCCATAGGCCACACCACAGCACAAGTGAGTGATAATCAAATGAAAATCATGTCTACATGCTAGAAGACTCGTTCTGTAGATCACTTTGGGAGCTGAGGGTGGTAACTTGAGCAAGAGATGAGATACCCTGAGCTTCACCACGTAGTAGCACAAGTGGAGAAGAGGGAG